GGGGGGGGGGGGGTTCAAACCCCATGAACCCCCCCCCCGTGAGTACGCCACTGGTTCCATTAGGAATAAAATTGATTTCAATTTTTTCAAACTATAAAACATATACTCCTAGGTCCTTTTTTTATGACGCCTTAAAAACTATTAGGAACTTTTTACTTTTGATGCTCCAGAGTACCTATTAGATTCACATTCCTAGTTTTCAGTTCGAGTCTGCGAGCGGCAAAGCAATCCTTCATATCATTTTCCTATAATAAAACCCTAGTTCAATATTTCAAAAACATTTTTTAATTTTTGATAACCCTATACTCCATTATAAAAAATCATTAATTCGTGATCTAACTATTGTAAATAAAGCTTTGAGATTAGGAATACTGATATTGTAAACTGCAGTAGAGTACATTAGTGGGCGCCCTCGGGCAAATGAATTTTAAGAAACAAAATAAAAAATGTTTTTAAAAAATTGAACTGGAGCTATATTATAGAAATAAAAATGGGAAGGGGGCATGGGCGCCCGCGGGCAAATGATTAATAAGAATCAATATAATAAAAAAATATAAAAAAATGTACATTAAAAACAAATATTAAAGACTGCAGTCTACAATATCAGTATTCCTAAGGTCAGTGCTTTACTTGCAATAGTTCGATCATAAAACAACGAATTTTTATGAGGTACTAACTGGTGATCAAAATATAAACAAAGTTTTTTAAAATTCGAACTAGAGTTAAATAATAGAACAAAAAATTTGAAGAGTGGCATGGGAGCCCGCAGGCAAATAAATTTTTAGAATCCAGAAAAAAAAATTATAAAAAAATTAGATATGATTCAGTTTTAAAAATAATAATTTGAAGGGGGCATAAGCGTCCGCAGGCAAATGAATTTTAAAATCAAAATCAAAATATTATAAAAAAAAAATGATACCATTCAATTTTTAAAATATAAATGGGAAGGGGGGAATGGGCGCCCACAGGCAAATTAATATTAATAATCAAAATAAAAAAAATTATAAAAAAATTTGACTGGGTTATGTTTAGAAATAAAAATGTTAAAGAGGGCAAGTGGGCGCACAAGCAATTGAATATAAAGACTCAAAACAAAAAAAAATATAAAAAAATGTACATTAAAAACAAATATTAAAGACTGCAGTCTACAATATCAGTATTCCTAAACTCATTGCCTTATTTGCAATAGTTCGATCATGAAA